AGGCTACCCCAGATTTTTAGCACAAATAGAAGCCAGTTCTACCAAAATTGCACAGCACAAAGCCATTTAGCTCTGTTCCGGGCTGGTGTCACCAAGGTGTAACCCCATGGTTACAGAGAAAACCCTTGTAGAATGGAAACTTTAAGACACAGGCTGAACAACTTTTAATTATATTTTCTATTATTTAACACTGACTGAATCTATTTCCTTGCAAACAGGCTGTATTTGGGTCAGGAGAATAACTCCCAACCTCGGGAGACAATGCCTCTCTTTTATGTAAACCTTCTTTAGCTCAACTCACATGCACTCCCTGGCTTTCATCATGTAGGAAATGTGCTTCCAGGTCTGCAAAAAACACCGATGCACTTGGGAGCACGTCCTTCTTCTGACAGTTATTTGCTGCAGTATCTACAAAAGCTTAGACCCATGATGCTCTCTGGAAGCCTGACTTCCCTAGACTCCTTTCATGTGAGGATGCCCTATTTTACCAGCGAAGAGCACAATGAATCCTCAGTATTAAGACCTTGGGGCTGCTTGCTCAGGCTCAGTGCAATGAACAGAGAATAAATGAACATCAAATTTCAGTCATCAAAAGTTGTGAGCACGGAAATTAAGCTTTTGGGAAGATGCAAGTGCTGCTAGGGAATCGATCCGCGCTTTGTATACATGGAAACAGACTCTGGGGATACTGTGCAGTAAGCAACATGAGGGAGGAGGAGATAACAAGGTCACTGTCTACATGCAGACAGTTGCTGCCCTTTTCTCACTGAAGGCTGATGGAATCTGTCTAGGCTGCAATGAGATTGCCCCTGGAGCAGCTAGACATGGGATGCTTTGTGTCCTCCTTCCGCCCAGATAATCTCCCTCAGGGACAGGCAGGCACAAAGCTTCACAGTTACCTAAGTTAAGTAAAAGCTCTGAATGAAAATGTTCCTGGGTGTTCATGACACTGGGCCCCAGTTGATATAATTACAGACCGGTGATACTTGCCAGTGATTTTGCCTTCTGGAACTTATTAGATCCACGACCTGCTCCCTTTTTTTTCTCAGCTGCCTGCCGACTAAGGTCTGGGGTCTCCCCTCCTCCTTTCTTTCTCCTGCAGAGTAGAACAGAGTAATATTAACAAGTGCTATGGAGTTGGTCCCCTGGGGTTGAGAAAAAGAAAATCCCTTATGATATTGCTACCAAAAAGACAGCATTTCAAATAATATCATTTTATCTTGCACCTGGGGCAGACCAAGAGTGCACAGACACCGCAGCTCAGAGGAGGCTGGTAACTTGCTATTTTTATGTTAGGATAACTTCCTAGCACTAAGAAACATGCCCTTACCTCAAGACTTACTGATCTAAGCTAAATTAATGAAACATGTTACGTTAGATTAAGAGAATTCACAGAAAGGAAAGTTTAGTAAAATCAGTTTGAGAGTTTTGAGTTAAATCCATGTAACTTGTAACATAAGAAAGGCTAAAGGACTGCCTCTCCAACAAATTATTTACTCATTGTTTTTACAGCCAAATACTACTTCTTGTATATGTATGTAAATGTATCAATTTACATGTAACTATTATTAAAGTCAATGCAATTAACTGGCAGAACAGGAATATTCCAGAGTGTGAAAATTAAGTGTAGTACACTGGAATATGGCCAGTTGTCACATTTTTCCAGTATCAGGAGTAAAATCCATACCATGAGGAATTTTTTTTAAAAACTCAGGCAGGTTCCTAAACACATTTGCTCTGAAGGTGTTAATCCCCCTTCCACATTCAAATTCTGCAATAGAGAATCAGTGAATTTAAATAATCAGCTCTATGTGGTCTCTGGATTGGGCCCCCATCTCCATCACCAGCATCTCTGTGCTCCTCAAAGGCATGCTAAAAAGCACATAAATAAAAAATAATGAACATAAAGGGTGGAAACGGACTCTAAAAGCAACATTTATCCTTTAAGGAAACACCACATAAGACACATGTCCTCACAATCAGCCAATAGTTATTCACTTGTCCCAGACCAGCTGTAGATCCAGAACCATAAAGACAAATCAGACACATTATTTCAAATAGTAAATAAAGGAAAACTACCATCTGTTTATAAACACTTCCCTAACAGTCAAGAAAAAAAATTCAATCAAAAATATTGATATGGGGACTGAACTGGTCATCTTTGGACAGAACACAGACCTGGCTGTGTGGTTGCAAATTAAGATGTTAACCTCTACTGCTGTATTCTAGTGCTCATGCTCCTGGTGTCAGAGCATCCCTCTGCAGCAGGTTGCCACCATGATCTCACTTCAAGGCCAGGAAATTCCCACCCCTGGAAACATCCAGGTTGAATAGAGCTCTGAGCAACCTGATGAACCTGATGTCCCTTCTTACTGCAGAGGGGTGGGATTAGATGAGTTTAAAGGTCCATTCCAACCCAAACCATTCTGTGATTCAATGTTTCTACAAAACAATGTGAGCAATAAGGACGAGTTTCTCAAGGCTGCGAAGGAAAAGAGCATCAAAGCTGAGATGAGGATGGCCAGTGCTGAATTCAGTGTTTCTCACCCTTCTTTCCTCCCTGAAGAAAACCTTTTAATTCCCACCAGCCTAACAGGCAGAGTAGTGGGCTGGCTATTCAGAAACATGAAAAGCAGGAGACAAGCATTAGGATTTGGAAGGACAGTGAAACACCATGCCTTTCTCACGCAAGCCAGCCCCTTTTTTTGTCAGAAGCTGGGCCCAGGCTGCTGACAGAACAATTACTGAAAGTAATTATTTTCTCGTTGGGTAAACACTCCAGTACAATATGCAACTGTTTTTAGAGCCAGCCTATGTCCATAAATTATCTAACTGAATTAGTGCTGCCTTCCAGAAGCCTTAGCTGGTTGAGGGGGGGTGGGGGTGGGGGAAAGGAGCTTGTATTTTGGCTGAGTTGTTGTTACGAGAAGTAGAAGGGCGCTTTCTTGAAGCAAAAGGACACAATCCTGGCAGGGGTCCAGCGCTAGGCTAGAATCTGAATTCATTATTCATGATAAAGTGGGAGGCAAACCTTTTGATTTATTGGCAACAAGCAGCACAAACACCAGATGCCTTCCAGCGGAACTGTACATGCACAGACTAAAAGAAACACCCCTCCTGGACCTTTTTTAGGCTGATCAGAGTCCAGAGAAAATTTGCTAACTTGTCATAAATTATCTAACTGAATTAAGTGCTGCCTTCCAGAAGCCTTAGCTGGTTGAGGGGGGGTGGGGGTGGGGGAAAGGAGCTTGTATTTTGGCTGAGTTGTTGTTACGAGAAGTAGAAGGGCGCTTTCTTGAAGCAAAAGGACACAATCCTGGCAGGGGTCCAGCGCTAGGCTAGAATCTGAATTCATTATTCATGATAAAGTGGGAGGCAAACCTTTTGATTTATTGGCAACAAGCAGCACAAACACCAGATGCCTTCCAGCGGAACTGTACATGCACAGACTAAAAGAAACACCCCTCCTGGACCTTTTTTAGGCTGATCAGAGTCCAGAGAAAATTTGCTAACTTGGAATTGCTAACTTGGAAAATTTGCTAACTTCCAAACTTTAGATAATTTTTTTTTACTTCACTTTTGCAGTATTGCTTTGTGCCCAAAGAGACAAATCCATCCTTGCTGGTCTCTGGGTTTTGTTTGGTTGGTTGATTGGTTTGTTTTGGTTTTTTTCATATATCTAAACAAAAAGCTACCTGGACAATTCAGGCAGAAAACAAACCAAACCTACTAGAAATCATCCTTACGATAAATTTTCACATGGGAATTGTAACTCAATCCCTGTGTGTATCTCTTCTCTATCACCTCACCACTCCCTTGACTGTGCATCTGATCATTGCTGTTCTTAATTTCTCTGCTCAGTGACTGTGAAGCTTTTCCCATACCATCCCACACCATCCCATCTAAACCAAATAATGTCTTAGCAGCCGTACTTGGGGATCTCTCTCCGTTCTCCTTCATGCTGCAGTGATGTTTGTCACTGAGGCTCTTGGATGCCTCAGGTTTTATAGTACAAGCTCATGCCTTTCTCAGCAAGCAGCAAAAAAATCCATCAGAAAAAAACTCAACAAAACAAAAAAACAGTCACATTTCAGTGACCACCCAGACTGCAAATTAACACCATTCTGATGCTTTTTGGGGCACTGCCCAGCTGTTGCACAGTGTTCTGGTTCTTGTCTCCAGTGACATGAAGCACCAGCACTCTAAGCCAAACCTTCACCCAGATGACCTGTAAAAATTTAGTTATTTGCTTTTCAAAGGTAAATACCCAACTACAGTCTTACAGCCTGAAGTATATGTTTTGTGTTACTTCTTTTTAGGACTCACTTAATCTCTGCTTCCCTGCATAATTAAGAATTGTTATGCTTCCCAAGTTTCACTATTTTTTTTTTCCCTAAGCAAGGATAAGTTCTCTGCTATGAATTTCCAGCAGTGTTGTTTTGATACTGCTGTGGAAGGGAGTGTGTAGCTAATGACTCCACTCAAAAGGCCAAGAAAAGAACAGATGACAAATCTGCCATTTAAATGACAATATTTCAGCTGCAGCATGGACACCCTGTTATGATGAATGAGAGAGTTATGTAGAGTGAGGTCCAGCTCAGTGGAGACTTTAACCAGGTCTAAGAGCCAGGAAAAACTTAATTTTTTCATTACCTCTTAAATTCTGCACATTTTAACCTGACATTAGGCAGATTAACTTTGATTCAAAGAAGTAGCCAGTGACTGGCTCACACATTGCTTTGATGATGGTGTCAGGTATTCCTTTGATGTAATCATCTTCTTTATTCACACAGAATTTCCTCCAAGTCCAGTCTTCCTGAGCACAGCAGAACATAAATTAAAAGAATGGCTTATTGGCTCACAGCTTTCCAGTCAACCTGCTGCTCTACTAGCCCTCTCTCTAGTCCTTCTCCCTCAGCCATTGCTTTGGCTTTCTGCTGCTTTTCTGCAAGTTCTGCATCTTTTCACACACGCTCATGACCTCAAGAAAACTCTTGTTCCTCTCTGTATGCAGCCAGACTGCAGAAAAGCCCATTTCCTCTCCCAGGCCACCATTGCAAAAGTCTGTATTTTAGGAAATCACTCCTATTGTTTTAGGAATCTCATTTTACATAACATTTCATTACTTCTGACATTCATTTTACATGAAGAGTGGTTGTTACGCCCTTGAGACCCAAGAATTCATATAATCTGAAGAATAACCATATCTAACAGAGCCGGGGGGGGGCAGAGATTTTTATCTTCGTTCTCTGTTCTACTTTCAACCCTTTTCACTGGTCAGGCAGGGTCTGCCTGAGCCTGGAGGCTGCAGTGAGGTAGATCAGCTTGCATAGCATTCACATGAGACTCTCTATCTCTACTGACTAGACATTCACTCACAGTTGGTTGAGCATGGCCTTCATCAGCTGTCCAAAACAAAGTCTGGCATCACAGCGGGGCACTCTGACCACTTTGGCATTGTGCTCCTGTTTATAGACAACTTACACCTGCCCAAGCTACCCATTAGCTGCCACTGCCACCTCCAGTGAAACCCTACACTTGAGGAACACTGAAGCATGAATGGTGGTCCTACAACTACTGCTGCAGACAGGGGTCCCAGTGAAGTGCTGAAGACCCGATCCTCAAGGAGCTGCCCAGACGCAAAGGGTGGAGGACATGATACAGAGCCTTCATGGGAGGACTTCAGCAAGAGGGATGCAGAGAGGATTATGTTGGCAATGTGTTCACAGAAAAGAAGCAGCAGATCGTGATGTGAGTGGGAAGCTGGGTCAGTACCTGAGCCGGCACACCTGGGTTGCTGAATAGTCATTCCAGATGAGACTACACACTAGCAATTACTTTCAGCTTAAGTGATATTAAAGGGAGATCCTTGATAAACAAGCAAATCCCATAGAATTCATTTCACTCTTTGCAATAATCCTCTGTAATTACAGATAACTGCCAGATTTGCTAGAACACATAGCATTAAAATACCCTCCATTGCACAAACGGATAGAGGCTCAAATATCACTTAGTAGAAGAAAACAGTCAGAAGAAAACAGTTACTGTGTCATTAGCAACTCAGAATTATTTGCATCTGGCTGTTGCACTGGAACAGGCTGCCCAGAAAAGCTGTGGAGTCTCCTTCACTGGAGACATTCAAAACCCACCTGGACGCGTTCCTGTGTGATGTGCTCTAGGTGACCCTGCTCTGGCAGGGGGCTTGAACTAGATGATCTTTTGAGGTCCCTTCCAACTCCTAAGATTCTGTGATTCTGTCAGTTGAATCTACAGCTCAGTGCTGGAACAAGCAACTTTTAAAGCCTTCAAACAAGGCTTGTCTCACTTTTGACATTGGGTTATGGCCAGTTCAAGGGAACCCTAAACCTCACAGAAACCTTTGGGAGCCACTACATAGCAACATTTAGCACAGCTGAAAAATAACACCAGGACATCCGTTTGCAACAAGAGGCATTTTGTCAAAATATTTCATTAAAAGCCTCAAAAGAATGGTACCCAAAATGGTGCTGAAGTTTGGAAACATACCACAGAAAGAGGGTGAGGTGGAAACTGGAAAACTCTTTGAAGTAGCGCAGTATCCTAGGACTAGGGGACGCGGATTAAAAAGTGATTCATAAAAGGCTTTTGTTCAGACACTGGGAACTTAGTGGAACACCATGGAGGAGTGGTGGGTCTGGCAAAGTTAATCACATTGAGAAAGAACCTTCGCGAGTGCACGGCTGCTTAGCCAAATCATCAGTCAGCCAGTGTAATTCATGGGTTGATTGTTCCTGTGCACAGGGCTAATCTCAGATCCCTCAGTTATTTACTTGAAGTACAATCTGGATACTTCCACTGTGGCTCAATTGGTTCCCAAGGGATTTTGTTGGCATGGTGAAGAGGAATCTCCTCCTCTCTGCACATTCGGTTGCATGAGAGTCTGTGCAAGGACTCGCACAGGAACTAGGCAACGGTCAAGCTAATCCATTACCTGTTCACCAGGTTCAGATTAATGACAGTATTACCAGTTTCACAAGTTCTTGCAGGTCAGCTGAATTGAGGTAAGTGCTGTGAAAAATGAGAGGTGGTATTAATAGGCACTTAAACAAGAAACAGGCCAAGCCCTGCACACAGGTGACTCCACAGGGGATGCAGAGAGGATTATGTTGGCAATGTGTTCACAGAAAAGAAGCAGCAGATCGTGATGTGAGTGGGAAGCTGGGTCAGTACCTGAGCCGGCACACCTGGGTTGCTGAATAGTCATTCCAGATGAGACTACACACTAGCAATTACTTTCAGCTTAAGTGATATTAAAGGGAGATCCTTGATAAACAAGCAAATCCCATAGAATTCATTTCACTCTTTGCAATAATCCTCTGTAATTACAGATAACTGCCAGATTTGCTAGAACACATAGCATTAAAATACCCTCCATTGCACAAACGGATAGAGGCTCAAATATCACTTAGTAGAAGAAAACAGTCAGAAGAAAACAGTTACTGTGTCATTAGCAACTCAGAATTATTTGCATCTGGCTGTTGCACTGGAACAGGCTGCCCAGAAAAGCTGTGGAGTCTCCTTCACTGGAGACATTCAAAACCCACCTGGACGCGTTCCTGTGTGATGTGCTCTAGGTGACCCTGCTCTGGCAGGGGGCTTGAACTAGATGATCTTTTGAGGTCCCTTCCAACTCCTAAGATTCTGTGATTCTGTCAGTTGAATCTACAGCTCAGTGCTGGAACAAGCAACTTTTAAAGCCTTCAAACAAGGCTTGTCTCACTTTTGACATTGGGTTATGGCCAGTTCAAGGGAACCCTAAACCTCACAGAAACCTTTGGGAGCCACTACATAGCAACATTTAGCACAGCTGAAAAATAACACCAGGACATCCGTTTGCAACAAGAGGCATTTTGTCAAAATATTTCATTAAAAGCCTCAAAAGAATGGTACCCAAAATGGTGCTGAAGTTTGGAAACATACCACAGAAAGAGGGTGAGGTGGAAACTGGAAAACTCTTTGAAGTAGCGCAGTATCCTAGGACTAGGGGACGCGGATTAAAAAGTGATTCATAAAAGGCTTTTGTTCAGACACTGGGAACTTAGTGGAACACCATGGAGGAGTGGTGGGTCTGGCAAAGTTAATCACATTGAGAAAGAACCTTCGCGAGTGCACGGCTGCTTAGCCAAATCATCAGTCAGCCAGTGTAATTCATGGGTTGATTGTTCCTGTGCACAGGGCTAATCTCAGATCCCTCAGTTATTTACTTGAAGTACAATCTGGATACTTCCACTGTGGCTCAATTGGTTCCCAAGGGATTTTGTTGGCATGGTGAAGAGGAATCTCCTCCTCTCTGCACATTCGGTTGCATGAGAGTCTGTGCAAGGACTCGCACAGGAACTAGGCAACGGTCAAGCTAATCCATTACCTGTTCACCAGGTTCAGATTAATGACAGTATTACCAGTTTCACAAGTTCTTGCAGGTCAGCTGAATTGAGGTAAGTGCTGTGAAAAATGAGAGGTGGTATTAATAGGCACTTAAACAAGAAACAGGCCAAGCCCTGCACACAGGTGACTCCACAGCCTCCTTGCAACTGCTCCTACTGATGCTTGTTAATGCACAGAAATTTGACCAGAGATCCAAGATTCTGAAAACAGTTGATGCCAGATGTGTCAAAGGAAAACACGGGGCAGTTCTAAGACAGGTTGATGTGCAAAACAATACTTGGGGGTGGGAAAGCCTTTCTTTTACCAGTTGCTGACCAGATAATCCAGGGAGCCCAAGAACTGATGGATCTAGGCTGTCTATGCCAGACAGTGTAGATACAGCTACTATTCATTATTTAAATGCTCCATAGTGCATACATACTCTTACATCTGCACCTTCATTCAATCATCTAAATCTCTTCACAGCCAGAAGATCTTTGAAGTGGTAGAATTGTATTTCATCACAATTAATTTATCTTCTGTGCAATAACCTCAGATTTCTCTCAGTCTTGCAGTTTAAAGATTCTTAAGCAAACTTTTGTCCCAATACTTCCCACTACAGCTGTGTTACATGTGTAGGAGATACAGCATATTTTATAGGCAGCCACTAATAAGCTGTGCCCATGCTCTGCACTACAAGGACACAAAGTAGTGCAGCTGCAACTACAGCTGAACCAAGACCAATCCAAGAAAAGCCAAAAGGGCAGCAAAGTTGGGTTTGCAACCAGGTTGCTGAACTCTAGGGCATCCAGGCAGCTTGGAGTACAGACAGAGTGAGCTTGCAAAGGGCACAGACACACCCTAGTGTTGCAGAAAAAGCAAAAGGGAAGAGATGAAGCTCTTACGCCTGCCTGGCCTGCTCGATGGGATCATAGTTGTCGAGGTAGTTGAATCGGATAGTGTCTGTGGGATGCCTGTCTGATGAACGCCATGGTGGGAGCTCCTTTTTCTCCTTGTTTGTCCTCCTTCCAGGCACAGCAAGTTTTGTCTCTGGGAAGTTGCTTCTTACAGGCTGCACATCAATGATTACAAACTCATCCTTTGCAGGAGTCTAGTGAGAGAGATAAAAAGAAGAAAATAAATTTTAGCCTATAATGAAAATAAGATTTATTTTGCCCAAGTTTAGACTTTAAAAAATTAGGCTTTAACTCAAAATCAGTCTGTCCAGGCTCCATTATGGTCAATGGACAGAAACAGGCACCCTGACAGTGCGGGTCATCATCTACATGCCAAAATCTGTATTAAGATGAGCTGAGCTCCTTTTGAGATGCCTTGCCTTCTCTCTGTTGACTACAGAGAATCTGTGGGGGAGTTTGGTTAAAATTAGAGGGCTGAGTTTTGAATTGAGGGCAGAAGAATCCCACTCTCACAGCCCTGCAAACCAAGCAAGGCATCAGTGAATCTCAGAAGAACTCAACGGCTACTGCGTTACGCTCCACCTCCTCAAAATGGCCCTGCTGCCTCAGAAGAAGAAAGAAAGACAACACCAAGGGATATAACAGGCATAAAGGATCTTCTTTTTCCCCCTTTCCAACAGGTGAACTGACTCTGAAATGTCAGCAGAGATGATGCTGAGTACCCCACCTCTGCTTATCAGCTTGAGGCAAGCTATAATATGCTCTATAAACTGAGGAAAAAGAAAGTGGAACAGCCTTGAGTGCTGGAGAGGGAAATTTAGAGGATTAGTCCAGAACACCCTGAAAGGACAGGAGAATGAGACCTTGATGACTCCTAACCCAGGAGAATTTCACTTCCTCCCTACCGGGGATGGATGATGGGAAAATAGAATGCATGGCAACACATGAGCTTAGCTTCTAATTTATGATTTTGTATCTTCCATTTTACCCTCAGGAAATCACAGAAAGATAGACACAGGGGTTAAGAACCTGACCAGCCCAATTTTCCCACTGGCCCAAACATCTCTTAGAGGTGGCAGGTATGTACCTTTGGTCTTGTGACATGCAGCTCTTTCACCATCTCAATGTAATGTTTCTTCCAGATTCCTTGCTCAAAAGGGGTTGGAGAGAAGTTGATGTACCAGCCAAAACGCAGGCATTTCAGCATCCAGAGCTGATCCAGTTCAGAGAGGTACTTCCAGTACCAGCTCACCTGTGAATGCCCAGTAAGTTGAAAACCTTGGGGTTGTAAGCATTCAAGATTGCAGCTAGACACTTCTGTGCAGTGGATGTAATACCATTATGTCCTAGTACAATTCTTCAGCACTCTTTATGCTCCATTTAAACCTTTCATGAAACCATTCAAGGTCTTCATGACATGCTCAGAGCCTAAGTGTTAGCTGATCTCCTGCACAGGGTGAAATTTTCCAAAAATCACAGGCTAAGGGGTAAAATTTCAGCTTGTTTGAGGCAACTTCTTGCACTTCTACTCCATAAGCCTACAGTAGTTGGAACAAACCCTGTGTTTCCACTGAGAAAACAGCATCAATAAACTCCCCAAGTCTGACAGTTCTGAATGCTTTCTCTCTACTCATGTGCTGCTGTTACATTCCATCACACAGTCACCTTGTGTGCAATCCTTGTTTCAGCTTAAGGACAATCAATCTATTGGTGTGGCCATGCTCATAATAGTAGCTGTCCAACTATGTGACACAAGTAGCACTATAAAGACCTTCCATTCTAAGTAATTTCCTACTCTTTTTCCTGCCAGTGAATGAATAGTGCAAGTTGTATTCACATAAAACATGAAATGCTGAAGAAAGATACTGGAGTGAGCTTTAAACAAGCTGGGAGTTTTATATATTTGTAGTAATACGTGAGGTACATTTTTAGTGCATCAATAACAGCAACAATATCTGAACTTACTCATTCTGAACTACTTTGGGCATCACCTCACAGCACTTCATCTCATGCAAACATATTTTTTGAGTCTTTGCCACTATGCTCAAAAGTACATCTGTGACTTCTCTGCTTCTCCACATGCAACACTTTACCCTCTAGTATTTTACAGGATCTGGTTTTCTTAAAGCCTCATGTGCAGTTGTTTGCAACTAGCACAAGCCAAGACTTTTCAAGCCAACTAATGATTCTGCAGACAGTACAAGGTACTTGAAAATAACACAATGTCCAGAAAGTACCAGGCCTCCTTCTTGGGAAGAATCAGTCTTGTAAAATGCCACATCTTAAATGCCTTAGAGCTGAGCATCTCAAGTTACTCTTCACTTTAGTAAATCTTGGCCAATCTGGCTTAATTTAGGATCTGTAGAAGTGTTGGGTTTGGTCTCATATGAGCATCATTAAGCACTTGGCACCAGGCTGCCAAGTCAGAAGACATCCTTGGGTTATGGAGAACAGCTCTGGTATGTCTTTGCTGAAAACCAGGGCTGTTTCCTTTTTTTTTTTTGACTAGCTTAACATGACTTCCTGAACCTTAGGTGCATATTGACTTTTTTACCTGTGCACAGCGACAGAGGCTTCTTGGGTCCAGGAAGGAAAAGATGTATAAGGACAGGACTCTGGGAAGCTTTGTGGTAAAATCTAGAGCCTCGGTGGGGACTCGATCCTGTAGCTGCTTGGCACAGAATTTTTGCTGCGATGGGGAGCAGCGTTCCAACAGGTCCACCAGAATCCTCCGCCTCTGACCATCTGTCCACTTGTCAAACTGAGAAAAGGAGTTTCAGGTTCTGAGAAACCAGAGATTCAGCTTCTTAAAATAAAGCACACATTTAAGGCAAGGGAAAGTGCATAAGAAGCAGCTTCTGGTGACTCATTCAGGAGCAAAGCACGTAGGAACTGGGAACAAATGGAGAGGCTACATTAAAAGAAACTCTGAAGCCACGTAACATTTGATTTATAATCCTCAAAGGATCCAGAATGGCCTAGTCCAGGACACACTCATGCTCAAAAGACTCTTTACTCCTGGGACTGGCTCTGAGACTTGGCTTCATTCATGGTAAGAAGACTCAGATGCATGTTTAGAGGATCAAGTCCCAAATCACAATGAGTTCACTGCTTTTTCCTTGTCTATCCTGAGACTCTGATGGCCCCCACTACTGCTATATTTGAGTGCTTCACAATTTGAAAAGTATTTATTCTGACAATCCCACTGCACAGGACAGAAATCCCCACTAGAGAGAAGTGGAGCCAAGAAAAACTAAATCAGCTGCCCATGTGTCACCTGCAGGACAGATCCAGCAGCACAGCAACAAAGATTTTTCACAGCATTTCTATGCTTATGACAGGTACCTGAAGAGGAGGACTGAAATGGTTGTGGGAAGAAATGAGCACTTAGGTAACCACACAGGCATGTATCTCTTTGCTTCAATGGCAACAACGACGCTGCATGGAGTGGAGTGGGGCAGAGCTGTGTAAACAGGGTGGGAGCAACGGTGGTGGTAGCTCATGTTTTACCGGTGTTGATAGGAGAGGATGGAAAGGGCCCTGTCAGCAGTAATCTCCTGGGAGGAGACTGACCTCATCGCCACAATCTGTGCAATCTGTCTCAAAACCTGCAAGAGCAGTCCTGGCTGCAAGGGCAGCACTGAGTGCCAGGAGGAAGGAAAGCTTGGAGGACCACGGTGGCTGCAGGCAGGATGGGCAGGAGTCCCCAGTGGGAACCTCAGGCAGCAGAACCACATGGTTCAAGATGACTTTCCAGGTGTAAAACACAGATTTTGGAGAAGTCCCACTTCATCCTCCTTCCTAGCACAGCAAGAGCTGCCTTGACCCAAACACACCTTCTTTTCAAAGGGAAAACTGAACTGTTTGGGGAATTCCCCTGTTTGGGGAATGCTGCTTTTCCCCATTGTTTTGTTTCTCATGTGTGTATCATCCTCAAAACAGGCATCTTGCTTTCACAGGACTCTTTCCTGAAGCCAGCTTTCCACACCTGACAACTTACTCTCCACAGGTCAAATCAGAGCACATTCATTTTGCATTTAACCTCAGGGGCACCTGAAGTCCTTATTTAAGCATGACCTCCAAAAATTTAAAAAAGTAAGAAAAAACATGCAGTTCTTCCTATATATATGTATATTTTTATATATATATATATGTGTGTGTGTATATATATATAATTGTAGGTATATGGTTTAATGACCAGGTCCCTTCCTTTCTCTTTTAGAACAAAATAGACTAGAAATTCAGATCTTTTTTTCAATCTGCTTTTCCCCAAAAAAATCTATGGGCAAGCAGAAGACTAGCAGAATAACAGTTTAAAATATACTGTGCAGATGAAAGGTAACTGAGAAGAAATTTACTTCCAGATTATTTTAAAGAAGCTTTTGTTTCTTTAATTTTACATGGTTGTATTTAATTCCAGTACTGGAGAATAAACTCCAGTAAGCAAACAGCTCTTCTCCTTCTTCCAAAAACACTGCCAAGACCTTCAAGAAGGTCAAGAAGAAGGTGGCATTCCTGAGATCTCAAATACAAAAAGCCAAATAGAAGAAAGCTCCCAAAAGTCCCACATGCCTTTTCAGATGCAGACAGTGAATTAAGGAATACACCCTTTCCTTCCCATCCCTGTTTTACATGTAACATTCACTTCTAATGACATTTAGCAGAGTAGTAAGGAAAAACTGGATCAGGACCTTTGGATTTGGGGTTTAAAAATGAGTCCTCCTAGAATAAAATCAACAAAGGTGTACCAGAGGGGGACAGAGGAGGTTCTGCCAGTCCCCTTCTCACCCTCAGCTCAAGATAAAAGGCTTTCTCTGCCACATGGTGAGGGGGGAAAGCTTCTGCTGCACAGATTCCCCATACATGATGACAGCTACATCCTCTTCTCATTAAAACAATCTATGATCACCCATTTGCAAAGATAAACTTCTCCCATATAAGTTCCAGAGACAGGGAAGTAACAGGCTTACTCTCTTCCACACCAAGATTAAGTGAACTAATCAAAGCTAATTTAGCTTTTCACTTGACAGACAGAGTATTTGCTCCTATTTAACTCTTCCCATTCTGCCATGGGTGTTGTAGTTAAGCAGTTCCTTCCAGCATCCTCAGCCTGTGCTTACTCTGCAAGGGAAACTCCATTTAAATCAGCACTGCACTGTGCATGGGAACACCCAGCTGCTTCTCCATTGCATTCAGCAGCAGCCAAATAATTTAAGGAGACATAATTTGTCTCTTTTCCAGTATTAACAAGCATGTCCCCATCCTACATTTGGCTGCCTTTCTCCACAGTTCCTCCCCTTGCATCTGATTACAGCAACCCAACCAGTTGGACCGGATTCCCCTTTTCAAGGTGCTGCACCTTCTCTATCCACAGCTAGGAAGGGGGATTTTTCCCTTTTCTGTGCCCTTCCCCAAGCCCTGGTGAACAATGTCTCCCCAGGGACTGTATAACATCAGGCTACACTGGCAGTGCAAAGTGCTCAGTCCCTGCTTCTGTGATCAGTTTACAATTAATCCATGAGTGCACACACACAAATAATGCAGCCTGACACCAAGGGGAGAGCCCGGGAGTGCAGCAGGAAAGTAACTTAACCTAAAGAGGCCCCACTCTGCTGTAGGAGACAGGTTGTTTGCTGACTTCAACCAGCCCCTGAAACGGAATGGAATCCTCATCTCCAAATCATTACATCCATGGGAGTACACAGGATCCCTCTGCTCTGCAAATGTAGGACCCGATGTGCTAGTCAACCAGGCTTTTCTACAGAATGGCTTACAAGTACTTGAGTACGATTCCCCTAGGGAGAAGTGATTTTCGCACCCTCCCCAGCCATCTTCTCCCAATCCTGATGAAGAGATGTGTTGGAGACCAAGACCAGGTCAAGGGAGATTATTTTCCCCCTCTAGTCTACTCTGGTGAGAGACTCCTGCAGTGTTGGGTCCAGTCCTGGGGTCCCCAACACAAGAAGAGCATGGAGCTGCTGGAGAGGGCCCAATTGCTTTCCAGAGAAAGCTACAAAGATGATGCGAGGGCTGGAGCAGCTCTGCTCTGGAGACAGGCTGAGAGAGTTGGGGTTGTTCAGCCTGGAGAAGGGAAGGCTACAGGAAAGCTGGGGAGGGACTTTTTACAAGGGCATGGAGTGATGGGATGAGTGGGAACGGTTTCAAGCTGCAAGAGGGGAGATTAAATCTGAGCAAGAAATTCTTTGCTGTGAGGGTGGTGAGACACTGGCCCGGGCTGCCCAGAGCAGCTGTGGCTACCCCACCCCTGGAAGTGTTCAAGGTTAGGTTTGGCAGGGAGCAACTTGGTCTAGTGGGAGGTTTCCCTGCCTGTGGTAGGGGGTCGGAACTAGATGATCTTTGAGGTCCTTTCCAACCCAAACCTGTCTGGGATTGTATGATTATATGACCTGGGTGAGAAGAGAAAGGATGAAGCAGAGAGGCACCTGGTATCCATAAGATATAAGAGTTCACCCCACAAAATCGTAAATACTGCCAAGCTGCTCCTTGCCAGCAATTAGCAACTAGCCCCTGTTCCTTTTTGCTTTCACCGTTGTAGTTAAACGACTAAACCTGAAATTTTGCAAGAGGAGACTCCTGGGAAGACTGCTGAGGAAGGGAAGCTGGCAGCCTGGTGACAAGATGCACCCTTCAGCAGAAGACATTGCTGGCTAAAGACGTGTCTATAGGTGGGGGCGTGTGGTGACTAGGGATGGGGTTCAGTTGCCCAAACACTGCCCTGTGTTGTGGGGTATCCTAAAAAGCCTAGAGCTGCCGTTCCAAGGATGACAGTTGCTTGCAAGTCCTGCATCATACCTGCTGTGACATGGGAAACCAAGAGGTAGATAATGAGATCATGATAATGCATATGTCCATGCTATCATCCTCTTACCCATCAGAACAAGGTGGCTGGATCCAAGCCCTGTATTAGCATGGTTCCTGGCTCAAGCTAATGTCCAAATCGTGTCTGAACAGTGTTTGGAAGATTGTTAAGGGCCCAGGCCAAAATCATGCCAGGGATTGTGCTAACAATGTCATAGTGTGGATGAGCAAGGTCCAGTACATGAGAACACTCTGACACACTATATAAATTACCAGAAGAAGCAACCCACAGGGTGAGCTGAATCACTGTCTGGGCTCCCCTGACTTGTCTATATCTCACTGGGCTGTAATGGAAGCTGAGATGTTCAGATCACCTCGAGACACTGAAGCTTGGATGTCTTAATCTAAAAGTTCAACCCCAACTTCATTGTCAACTTATTAACCTGGGTGTCAGCATGATAGCAATGAGCATTAAGACAGAGCAAGATGCCTTTATGTTTTTTTAATTAATAGGAGGTATTTTTGGCTTGCAGAACAGAGCAGAGAGGGAGGCTGAGAGGCAGCAGGTCAAGGCATCTGCCTAGTGTGCAATGCAGAATAAAAGCAACAAGAATAAACCAGAAAAATTAAGAGATCTTAACCCTTCCCCAGTGTAACCATCAAAAAGGTTTCAACTGAAAGAGTGCAGCACAATTTCTCTTTTGTATTTATCTGGATAGTAACTGGGTAAAGGAGTTGGTATGAAGGGAATTAGTATCAAATGCCTCCAGCAGGGTCAAAGCCTGCAAATACTCATGCCTGGGAACAGCCATGTACACAGGGCTGCTACACCCCACCACTGCTTCCACTCCATGCAGCAATAACACTTTATGGAGCTGAGCACAATTTGAGACAGCCCAAAAATTGTAGAGGGTTCCATCACACGTCTTGGAGACTGCAGGTTACACCACATCCAGTCCTGTGGCCTTTGAGGCTGCCCAGCAGTACTAGAGAAATGAAATCCCTTCAGGTCAGCTAGTTCATTGTTCCTCAGCCTGTGTTTTATGGACCACATCAGCCTGGGAGACATCAATGATGTTCTGTGTCACAACTGCAAAACAACAACTAAGTGAAAATGCACAAGCACAGTCCCTAAATATGTGCAAATAAAATCAGGAAAAATAAAATAAGCAATGAGCATCTAAAGTTAAACCTACTCTTTATTTGGATTTTACTAGTGTCTAAATTGTGTCTCCATCATTGCAATTCAAGGCCATTGTTTTTTGTCCTATCCAATGTGAACACAGAGATCAGATTGTTCCCTCCCTCCTTTCAGACAGCTTTTGTGTGTTACTGCAAAGATGTTTTAATGTCTTTTCTCCATCTTCCCTAGAGTAAAGAGAATGTTTCCCTATTTTCTAGACCTGACACTGTTCTAACATATGACTTTTTCTAAGTATCCCCTGTTGGCCCTCAGCTTTCTCAAAAGGCAGGGATCAGAACTGGGGATATGTCAGACAGCCCTTTGAGATATTTCTCTTTGCTACAATTATAAGACACTAGCAGTTTATATTCAGGTTGTGATCCACCGTAATTCCCAGCAAATTTTCTTACGCAGAACTTTTTGCTTGTCTTTATCAAACTGCAAATTATTTAATTCTGATTTCTAATCTCCAAAGTTCCTGAAATCCCTCCAAGACTGGTATAATCTGCAGATGAGCATGTACTTTCCATTCCATCGGGCAGATATCAGTTAAAACGCTGAGCAGTTATGGATTTAGGACAGACTTCAGCCTTCCAGTTTAATAATAAGTAATTTACAACTACACTGAATATGGATTCCCAGCCATATAAACCCACCCCTCAGCAGTTTCATCCAGTCCCTATTTCATGAGAGCACTATGAGAGGATCATGTGAAACAACATAAAAACTCCTGCCCAGAGCACTGTGGTTTCTTGACACAGTTTTTCTTAGAGTCAAAGTGCTCCAGGCTTTGCATACCAGATATTATAATGCCACAGGCTTTGAAGGGAGTTAAGAGCAGCTTTTGTGCTTTCCGCACCCTTTTCATTGGCATGATGGATGACAGAAGCACAAGGAGAATTAGCTCTGAAGGAGCATGATGAGAGCTACTGATCTAGTGTCATATGAAGGGTCAGAATTTAACCTCTCAGAAGATGACTCACCACTCTTGTGTGTGCTTGGAGGAAGGTTATTTCCAGATTTTGTCTCTTCCAGTCGGGTTTCTAATGAAAACATTTTTGCCCTTTTGCCATGGCATATCCCATGGGCATTTTAAAACATCTATAATTTTCAAGAGACAGGTTTTAGGTCTGTCAGTTACTGACTATCATGCTCAAAGGTGTTTTTTGAACAACAATAATTCAATATTTTTTTCTTAGTGTCCGTGAAATTCCTTATTTCCTTATTATCAAAATCCATGCATTGAACAAGTTATGGAAAGCTTATTTCCTCTAAAGAGGAATAATCCTTATGATCTTAAAATCAAAATATGTGTCTGTATAGACCAGTTTACTTGTCCGTAACCACCCTGGAAGTGTTCAAGACCAGGTTGGATGGGGCTTGGAGCAACCTGGTCTAGTGGAAGGTGTCCCTGCCCATGACACAGGGGCTGGAACTAGATGGTCTTTAAGGTCCCTCCCAACCCAAACCAGGCTGAGATTCTATGATATGTAAAAAATGTCCATGAGTGACCTCTTAGGCATTAAGGATAAGCATCATAGTTCAACTAAATTATTGTGCCAATGCTTTTTCTCCAAGAGTGTTGATAAAAAGCATCACATCTATGTTTCCATTTAGCTTGTGTGCTGTATGTGAGCATATAACTGGTTCTTGGGTTCTGTTTCCAAAAATGTGCCCTGGGCTCAACTGCACATTTACACCCAAATTCACTCATTTATTGCAATAAAGTCCCCATTTAAGGGATGAGCTCAGGACTAGGGCAAACCTTGTGCCATTATATGCTCTGCCACCAGCTTCCTGGAGAGGTCAATTAGAGCTGTATTCCTTTCGGGCAGCCAGCTAGGACTCCCCTCCCAGGCTGTGGAAAGAAACAGGCATCTCTAGAGGGCTGTTCTTTCATCCTACATTAAGTGAGATGAATTACCCTCTGGAAGTATCACTTTCTCTCTGCTGACTATACAAGGAGCCTGCAATGACCGAACCAGCCAGGCTTAAATATTATGTTTCAGACATACACACCCAGTCAGAGAAACCTCATCCTGAATGTCTAACTTGCAGCCATTTGTGGCTGGGACAGACAAATCCTCTCTCATGTCTTTCCGTGCCTCATTTTTTCATCTGCAAAATGGGGTGACAGTACTTTCCTGTCTCATGTGGGAGCTGTGAAGATACTGACAGTAAGAGATTGTGAGGTGCTCAGTGATGACAGTATTAGGAGCCATATGTGTGCACCTGGGAGATAACACACTTCTATTACTAGTTTCAAAGATCTGCTAGCAGACAACAGCAATACCTAAACATCCAGTATCCTCACTGAAGACTTCACAGACTTTTCCCAGGGCTTCCTATCCCATTTCACATCATTCTGATAATGGAATATCGGAACTTACAGAATGTGGACTCTGAAGGAAACTACACCTTTACTTTCCTCAAAAGTAGACCAGGAAAATTGAACCCCTTTTCCAAAATATTATGTTTTACATTCCTATTAAAGCAATCTCTTGGTCACTTCAGCTGTATTTAAATATATATTTAAAGGGGAAAGTTTACCCATTTTCCAAGCAGGGCTCTTCTTTCTTCAAATACCTGTAAAACATACACATACAAATAAAACTGAATACTTAAAAGGGATTCAATATATCCTAAGAAAGACAGCTTGAAAAATATTTTATGTAACCTACAAAATATAAACCAAATCACTGAATAGAAGAGTTTGGAAGGAACCTGTGGAGATCTTTTAGTCCAAACTCCCTGCTAAGGTCAACTAAAGCAGGTTGCTCAGGGCCATGTCCAGATGGGTTTTGAATATCTTCTTAGATGGAGACTCCAAGATTTGGGAAACTTATTACAGTGTTTGACCACCCTCACAGCAGGAACATTTTTTCTTACATTAAATGGAATTTCCTGTATTTCAATTTGCAGCTATCATCTCTTGCCTTTTCACTGGATGCCACCAAGAAAAGTCTGGCTCTGTCTTCTTTACCCAGTCCTATCAGATACTCTCTCTGTGAGAGCCTCTCTTCTCTAGGCTGAAAAACCCCAGATCTCTCAACC